CGTTGACTAACATCCGTGTTATCTCTTTAATTACCCCATTCACCGAGGTGTCAACACAGACCAACAGGGGTCGCACTAGTGAACACGCAGCACGATTACGCTCCCTGCTGCAGAATATATTGGATAAAAAAAGAAAATGTCTTTGAGTTTTGTTGTGTGTGGATGAGCGGAGTGTATTTACTGTTGGGTCGTGAATTATGTTTGTCACCGTGTTTTTAAAAAGGCACCTGAAGCCTGCGGGCTGTGCAGGTTTATGTACATAGAGCTCGGTCTCTGCCCGGTCCGACTCAGGCTCCCAGACGGCGAATGGCACTCTGGTGGGGCATTTGAGCAGTGGAAGAAAATGTAGCCTCCAACTCAGGGAGTCATTTGCAGATGTGTCATTTGAGTTTCCACAGATCAAAGATATAAATTGGAATTGGCAGCAGACATGAAATGGGGTCAGGGAATTTGTCCCCGACACACATGCACGGTGAGAAAAAACGTGTACCATTTAGGAGGCTCTGATTTTACAGCTGGTTTTTCTGTTCAGAGGAAATGTAGCATTTTCACTGACTGTCCCTTTTCTCTAAGCGTCAGTCACTGTCTTCTGAGTAAATCAGACTCACACGACATCAGGGTGAAATCCTCGATTTGCATTTCATTGGAGCTAAAAGTAGTCAGGGCAGAGGTCGAGGTCACTGCGTGTGTGATGAAGCAGTGGTGTGAAAACATTCATTTTTATACTGTTTGTCGTCTAAGAGAGGACCACAGAGCATGGTTGCTGCCTGTTATATCATCCCACACCCCCCCCCCCATGCCAAGTCCTCCCACTAATAACAAAGGTTTTTGATTTAATTCCCACTAATTTCTACATATCCTTGTGATGGTCTTAAAGCTTAACTTTAAAAAAGAAAAAAAAAAGGACTCCACATGGCCCTTTCTGAAATCCCGCTGTTCGTTTTTTGTCAACCTTTTAGTGAAAGCCTGTCAAAAGTGGTTAGCTTCTCCTGTGTAACTACTTTTTTGCATCTTAGCTGCCCTGTGTCTGAACAATTTCTCTCAATCCTCTTGTTTCTCTCCTTTTGTTTAGATAAAGCGAGGGATTAGGAAAGATTTGCTCCCATAAAGTAGTGGTTTGATGGGCTTTTATCCCACCATGTTGCTAAAGCGGTGTAGCCCCTGGATTAGGCCCTGACAATAGCAACCCTTGTGCTGGGCAGCAGCCTCGGGGCCACAGAAAAAAGACGGGCTCCGTGAGAGAAGGAGGAAACAAACCTGCCAACCTTGATATGTCAAGTCTGCCAGAGAGGCTGCGAAGAAGAGTAGCTGTGGTTACGGCGCCGTGTGTTGTTTCTCTTCAGGTCGTACGTTCATAAACAACACCAGAGTGGACCGTGTGTGTGTGGCCTCGTGTTTGAAGCCAACAGACGAGCTAAAGATGCTAAAGGAGTCCTGGACCACAGAGGACAGAGTGTCATGGTCTAATGAACCACAGTTCCTTTTCCATCATGTGGATGGCTGGGATTATGGGGAACACATGGCACCATGGTACTGTGTGGCAGTGATTCTCAACTGGCGGCCTGCAGACTGCATCCAGCCCACTAAACTTTCCAACTCGGCCAAACGACTGGACTCCAAAATCAGTGATCTCCAGCGCTTATGACTCTATATGTGATTTTTATTTCTGACCCTTTGAAGAACCCGGTTGGTGAAACGGGGTCTATGTCCAGAAGTCAAGACTGATGTGTGGAACGTTCGGCTTCAGGTCCTACCATTCTACTTGTGCACGATACTTTGACGTGTACATGGAGACAGGGTACTTCTATACCTTCATGAATACTTAGGAAAACACAACAACCAGTTTGAGGTGTTGACTTTCCTCCAAATTCCTCAGATCCACATCTGATCCAACACCTTTGTGCCGGACAAACAACTCCTCCAAATCCTTGAATGCCTCAGGATGCACCTTAAAGGATTTGGTCGAAGTTGGACATAAGGACAGCTGGATGTAAAGTTATAAAACAGATGGAACACCTTGATTTAAGTAAATGAAAATGTAATCAACATTTGCGGGTGTATGTTTGTAATTTGGGGGAGGGGTAGGATCAGGTCATAGTGAATCCAGAAAGAATCACTTTCACTTCATTGCTTCAACAGATGTTGCCACAGTGACAGTTGTAACCAACGGTAATCAAACCCAAAACCTTCTGTTTTACAGGCGTATTTCCAACCGCTGTGCCACTGTAGCGCCTCCAGAGAGCCAGCTGTAATTTAAACATATGTAAATGAGTATCTAATAAATATGAGAGCAGATCGTGTGGAAACATTAACCGTGGTTTTATCTCGGTACAGCACTCTAACAAACACTACACCAGAGCCTGTGTACGTAAAGAGGTGAATTATCGCCATGTAAATCAGACAAGGTGAACGCCCAGATAATACACAGGCCGAGGATCGCTAATGGCAAGTTGCTTTGTTACTCCAGTCACACGAGTCCCATGAAAGCAGTCAATCCTCAGCGATTCATCAAAATGATTAATTTGGCCAAAAGGAGCACAAGCTAACCTTGAATAGGAGCAGGAGCAGACCACAGACCACAGACCACAGACCACAGACCACCGCTGCAGACACACCATAATGTATTCATGAAGTTTGCGGGGGAAATGATAGGAGTTAATGGGCTCTGAAGGCTGAAGGCACCAACTTTCTCCTCAAGTTGATGTGAAGGTTCCTTGGTGAGTACCGAGAGCTATTTGAGGGATAAAATTACAAACACTCATGCGTTCTAAACCTGATTAAAAACCGAGCGAGATTCATAAATCTCTGCAGCTTCTCAGGCTGAGCTGTGATTCAGGCTGCCAAAGTCCTGATGCAGGGATAAAAGTTTTGTTCAGAAAGCAAGCGGGGAGGATGACTGAGAGCAAAGACGATAACTCAGATCTGAGGAGAGGCTTTGACGCGATGGAGCCTGAACAATGAGTGCACCTCTGAAATCCACAGAAATCTACTGAGGAAGTTGAGGTTTAGGAAGTTAGCTCAGGGCTCGCTGTGCTGAAACACTAAAGACGATCAGGAAGAAGAGTTACCAGTGAGGATTATGGGTAAACGAATCCATATCAACATTAGGCCTAAATTCCTCCAAATCCATTTTGTAAATAAAAAACCTTTAGTGAAAGGTCATTTCTGACTTAAAGTTTGTGAGACTTCCTGTGTCCTTCTGTAGTATCCCAGTGGCATTGTACTGGACCACAACCTTCATGTTTGGGGACAATGTTCTTTGAGTTCTACTCCTCTCCCTTCCTGCCCTGAACATTTTAATGACCATCATCAACATGTCTATGGTCAAGTTCTAGAGTTTAGTTTAGCATTTACTTTGGGCTAATTCGAAAACTTATAATAATATAATATTATATATATATTAAAAATAAAAAATAAATAAAAACAACAATTTTAAATAAATATTAATTAATTAATTAAAAACATAATAATACTAATAATTACTTTTATTTTATTTATTTTTCTTATGACTGTTTTGTTTTTTATTTTTTCAGGGTTGGGGTCCACAAACCACTTGTCAGAATGTGAACCCAAAAACATCCATTCATTTCTCAGCAGTCTGTGTTTGTGCAAATCAATGTGACCAAAGATCCAAATGGATTTGGGATTTAAAACAGCGCCACCACCAGACCAGACCATCTCACGACACATAATATGCAGGCTTTACATTAAAGGGCCACTTTCAGGTGCCCTTTAATTCCAGCCTAAACGGGTTTTCTCCGAGTGAAGAAATCTTTTCTAAAAAAAAAAAATCCTTGGAAGAAGAGAAGGGCATTATTGTTTTAATCCTCTTACCACCAGTCATTTTAAGACTTTTTTTTGGAGGGTGAAATGGCGTCTTGTCTCCCCAATCCTCACCTAAATCCCTCGGGGCCGTGGAGCTGCTGGAGGCGGTGCGGGCTGCTGCGCACGAGGCTGCATCTCTCCATCAAACCTCCTCTCCTCTTCCCACCGAAACCTGCTCCCAAAGCCGGGGCTAAAACTGCATCCGAGCTGGGAATTAACCTCCAACGTCCCCGCGCTCCAGTCAAAAAAGTGTTCACATTTACATATCATTTAATTAATGCCTGTTTTTCAGCCCTCTTTTGGCTAAAACCAAGCGTTTAAATTCCCTGTTAATCGGCTCACACTTCTTTACCAACCTCTGCACAGGCAAATATTTTTGTCAAGGAGATGGTGTTTCATAGCAGTGTATAAACCTGTCACATTTGTACACGTCATTAATCCTGGAATAAACCCAGAGGAACCTGAACACGGTCTAAACGGTGTCTTTATTTGTCATTTATCAGGAGGGTTTTTACGCAAAAACATTTTTACGTTTTAACGTAAATTTATTTTAATAATAATAGCAGTCGATATGCATTTGTAATATTTTTAATTATCTACTTAAAGTAACAGCATGTTGTACTTGTCGTTGAATAATTAACACACACACATAAATATATGTATATCAGCCCTTTTTTCAGAATACAATATAGGCAAAGCAATATTCTGTATTTACATGTTTTGTACTTTTGTTATTTATATAGGTATAAATTAATCTCTTTAATGTTACTGTTTCACAAATGTTAGGCCAGAAATAACATTAAAAGTTTAAAATAATCATTAAACACAATTGGATTTTAGCTTCACTTTAAGTTATTAAAATATTTGCAATAAATAAAATAATTACTTCTTTTTTGTATATTTTTGGAGCTTATATGTTACAATTATTATTACATTGTAAATGTATTTTTACTAAAAAAATATATTATAATATAGAAAAGTTGCGAATGGCTGAGTTCAGCATTAATTGTTAATCACTCATCAAATGATATAATAATAATAATAATAATAATAATAATAATAATAATAATAATATCTACCAAAGCTCTGAGGTTCGGATGCAAAAACCCAAACCTGTGTTGAGGTGAATTCGTGTGCAGGAGACGGAGGAGGAGGAGGAGGAGGAAGAGGAGGAGGAGGAGGTTGGAGGTGAGGAAAGCAGCTGATTGGCTGAGAGTAAGGAGCGTCTGTCAGTCTCACCGACTCCACCCGGGGGGTGGCTTTTAAGGCCCTGAGATGGAAGCTCCCATAACCAGGCAGAGAAGGAGAAGAGGAGGAGGTACAGGAGGGAGAGAAGCCGGAGTCTGGAGCGCACAGAAGCACGAGGACACCGTGAGGAAGAACTGCTGAAAAACAACAACAAACAAACTCCAAAATCTAAAGTTGAAATGAACCAACCTGTGTGGATTTTCGAGGACACGATCTGAGAGGAGGACGGTGTGGGAGTCAGGAGGAGATCTTTTCCTGGCAGACACAGCAGAGGTAAGAAGTTTCCTGAGCGGAAGTTTGGGAATCTCGTCTTCTTGTCACCTGTACGTGTCCTTCATTATGGAAGCTTTAAAATAGACTGTGAACAAAACATTTATTTTCATGTATTTATTAATTCATTTGCATCATTTTAATCAGCAGTTGACGTCACACAGTCCGTTTGTTATCGAGTTTTTGTCATTTAAGTGTATAATGTTTTTTCTGATATGGTTTTGTTATAATTCTTTATGTAATTATTTTGTTACATTCGTTTTATTTTATTTTATTTTTAACAGCGTATCAATACTATAAAGACAAATATATTTTCGAAATGTATTCTTTACTATTTAAATTAATTTGACCAGAATCGTATTAATTACCAATAGGTGAACGCCACCGACCCAGTACAGACTCGGACAGAGCTCGTAGCCCCAGGACAGTTTTGGTAAATGCTGTATTACTCATACATCCACGGCAATTATCATAATGAGGCTTAAATCAGAGCCCGAGGCTCCGACAGAGTTGTCCTGAAGAGACAGAGCAGTCAGACGACGAAGGGAGGAAACTGGGGGAAAATCAAATAACAAATTAGGAAAATCCAGCCACAGGCGGATGTAAAAAAAAAGATGTAAAATGAATCAGTGTATTTGACACGGCATCCTCTAACGGACACACACACACACACACACACACAGAGGCAGGCCTGTACCGTTCACATGTCAGGGCTGATGATACATTAATAGCCGTGTGTAGTTCAAACCTATTTGCACTCACATTAGACAGAGCAGGTCAACAGGGATCACTCTGCAGACCTGTCACATTTTACACCGTCAGCCTGAAGGCGTCACAGAACTGACCTGGGATCAGCCACACATGCACGGGAGCCGCTCCGTTGATGTTACGGGGGAAATGTGTCCTCGCAGCTCTGCAGACGATTCTGTGCACAAACACACACATAAAATAAAAATAAAAATAAATTGAATAAAAATATATAATTGTGCACCGATCTCTAGCTCTGTTGTTATTGTTGTTTTAATTATTGTATTATTATATATTTTCATTGTGTTCTATTATTACTGCAGATAGAAGATAAAGCGTTTCTACTCTAATCAATTACATGCGGTATAATTATACAATGATACGCTGCTTAAAAATAATTTCATTGCTAAATGTGTATTCATTAAAAGCCACATTTTTGTTAGAATGTCCTAATTAAATTGCATGAATTTATTTTTCAGTTTTAAATGTATTTTTTTCTAAACACACAGAGATATTATTTAATTATTAATTCAATCCTAATCGTGTGAACAGGTGACTGTTTTCTTTCTTGATAAAAACTCCTCATGTTTCTAATTGATTCTGATTCACATTTACATGTTGTATTTTTTTTATAGTGTATGACATCAAATGTGTGAGAAAGATTCATTTTCTAAATCGATGATGTCATGCCTGACCACAGTGCCGTCTCTTCTGCACAGTTAGCCTCGGCCATGCAGCACTACGGAGTGAACGGCTACTCTCTCCACGCCATGAACTCACTGAGCGCCATGTACAATCTTCACCAGCAGGCGGCGCAACAGGCTCAGCACGCCCCCGACTACAGGCCCTCGGTCCATGCCCTCACACTGGCAGAGAGACTCGCTGGTAAGAACTGTTCTGTTGTTGACTTTGTTCAGTCCTGAACGCTCTGACGTGTCCACCAATTAAACTGCTCCATCCTCTTGTTTCTCAACGGCTGCACATTTCAAGACATTATCCTTGAGGCCCGCTATGGCTCCCAGCACAGGAAACAGAGACGCAGTCGCACAGCCTTCACCGCCCAGCAGCTGGAGGCGCTGGAGAAGACCTTCCAGAAGACCCACTATCCTGATGTGGTGATGAGGGAACGTCTGGCCATGTGCACCAACCTACCAGAGGCTCGGGTGCAGGTACAGAAACGCATTTATCGTGCTCTCTTCCTGCTCGATTTGGCATGTTTATTTTTCTGACATGAAACCTGGAAGTGTTTGGTCAACTTCTATTCATAAATGAAGAAACAAACTCTTGAAATCTGATTCCACGTGGCCTTTCTGTCAGACATGAGCTATAAACCCTTTGCTACTTCCTGGACCTCCACACCTTTACAAAAGTCCTTAACGTTGCCTTTAACTCAAGATCTTTCTGTTCAACAACCTGCCAGGTCTGGTTCAAGAACCGTCGGGCCAAGTTTCGCAAGAAGCAGCGTAGCCTGCAGAAAGAACAGCTTCAGAAACAGAAGGAGGCGTCGGCGACATCAGAGAGCTCCACAGAAGACTCCAAGAGTAACCTCAGCAGCAGCAGCAGCAGCAGCAGCAGCAGCAACACGGCCGCCACCACGGTTCTGCCTGAGTCCCACACTCCAACCATTCCCACCGCCCTCTCCTCAGAGACAGAGACGCTTCAGCCTGGAGAGATGAGCGTGGAAGTCAACGTCACCTCCCCTGAGCCGTCAGACAGCGAGTCAGCAGCAGAAGATAATGCTGACAGAGAGGAGGAGGAGGAAACCAGAGGGGAGTCCAGGGTGAAGATCAGAGAGGAGACGCAGAGAGAGGGGGGAGCACCGCCACGGAGCAGCTCCCCATCCTGCAAACCTCTCAGCCCTACAGCAGGTAAAAATGTAGATCTGGAATATATATATCGTTAAGGTCAAATTTACGTTTAGAGAAATGAAACAGAGAAGGCGACGGTGCAGCGCTTTTTATTATGATCAGAGGTAAAGTTTAAAGGCTGTGTCAATATTTAACTTCACAGTCCTGAGAAATAAAGTTGTCAAACATACAATTGAAGACACATTTTCAAGCTTACATTACTTTGCGTTAAAAACAAAATCATATTTCAAAACCCAATAGTTTCCACAGAACAAATCACATCCCTGATATGTCTCATAGTGCCTTAGACCGGTGATTCCCAACCTTCTGCAAGGTGGCAGTAGAGAGCTATGAATGCTAAAAAAAAAGATAATCAGAGCTGTTGAAGAAGATCTTTGTGTCTTTCTTCAATTCCTGCCAGTATATCAGCATTGTCTTCAACTAAACAGACTGAGATTTTAGCCAATTATGAGGTCGTTCAAACTAGATTATTATATTCCACTACACACACTTTTGGTGAGATTTTTGTTAGGTGGTGTGCTGCAGGGTTTTTCCCGAGAATATATTTGTGCCGTGGCTCGAAAAATGTTGGGAAACACTGCTTTATAGTACTCGAGAGTACTCGTCATTTCTAGTGCTGTACAACAATTCGTTACAAAAATAAAAGTTATCAAAGTAGCTAAAACATAAATGTTGATGTTCTTCATGCCAGAGAAAAGTATAAGAGAAAATTCAAATCAGCAGAAGGATATGTTGATAGATAATAGAATCTTTTGGTTGCTCTTCTAGTTATAGGTTAAAAATGTTTTTTGTTTTGTTTAAATTCAACAGATCACCTAATGAATCCCTCCGCCTTGTTCTCCTCCTCAGACTCTCCTCTGAACTCCCCTGCCCTGCCCTCGTCCTCCAGCAGTGTGGCCAGTGGCTTTGCTCAGAGCAACTCCTACGCCTCCTCTCCCCTCAGCCTCTTCCGGCTGCAGGAGCAGTTTCGGCAGCACATGGCTGCCACCAACAACCTGGTTCACTACCCCTCCTTTGACATGAGCGCACCGTCCTCTCTTCCTTACCTGGGTATGAACGTCAACATGCCGACCCCACTGGGCTCTCTGCCCTGCCAGTCCTACTACCAGACCCTGTCCCAGGCCCAGCAGGTGTGGAACAGTCCCCTGCTGCAGGCGGCACCCGGCAGCCTACCAGGAAGTCTCAACAGTAAGACGACGAGCATCGAGAACCTCCGAATGAGGGCCAAGCAGCACGCAGCCTCACTGGGACTGGAGCCACTCCCCAACTGAGGCAAAGGAGGGAAGATCACTCAGAACCTGGACATTTGAGCGTCTCTCCTTGTAGGTTTGTAATTGAAGGTTGGCAAATTTGGTAAGGCCAAGGTGAAAAGCAGCTCATGTTGACTAAAAAAAGCAGATGATAAGAAAAAAACAGTCAATTTTCATACACTGTGATACAAGGTCACGCAGTACTGTCACTAATGACACTGAAACATTGAACTAAACCTGTACCACACTATCCTGTCCTACTGCAGCACAGCTTTAAAAACCATGAATTTGTCTCTCTACTCAAAATATGATTACAAGTGCTACACAACATGAATCATTTACATTCAAAACCTTTTTTTCGCATGTTTTTTTTGTTAATGTGAATCCAGACACAACTTCAGTAAATAGTGTCATGTGACTGATGTTATAAACACCAATACTTTTTTTTTGCCTTAACTAAATTCATGTTGCTTAGCGCATGTAGTGACATTTTAGGAACACTAAAAATGTTCCTCCATCAGTAAGGTTTATCCTACACCTTTTTTTATTTTTTATTTCAAACAACAGCACTTTCTGTTAAAAACATACTTTTTTCTTACCATAGTTTGTTAAAATACAGTTCCGCTAAATCTGAATAAGAATTCCTCTGCATGAACGATTCATATTAAGATTAATATAAGATAGTAAGAACTACATATACTGACCAGACAGTTTCCATCTTCTTATCCCCTTTAAAGCTCCGTTTCTCAAATGGTGGATCCTGGTGGATTAAAATGTACCAGTTTCTTTATATACCACAGAGTACTATCTGCTAAACCTGGCTTCTACTGTGAGTCGTGGACTTCACATCCACATCACTGAGACAGAAACAGTCACATTATCAGTGTAAATATTGTCTACATCTCCTTCATCCGCCTGCTCAGCAGAATTTTAACGCAGCAACTAAAAGGTGACGAGTCACGTGTGAAAATAAACCAGACACTGTGGTCTTTTGTCAGCCTTGGTGCAAGAATGAACTGTTGCAGCACAGAGACGTATTAGGCCAAATCTGTGTGTATCATATTTCTGTATATTAAAGATATGTAAGTCACTCGTTCTAAATGTCAGTAATTTATCTGTAAAAATTTAAAGGAATAAATGACACAAACTCTAAGAATGACTCGGTGTAGTTCTGTGTTTTTGTGTTTTTATCTTGTACATTTCTTTTGTCTAACTCAGATGACTTTAACTCCAGCTCTACCTATCATTTTAACATACACATCTGTTTGACCTGCTCCTGCTGTACTGACTGAAAATCATCAGTTATTTATATCTTCACTTTTCCTCATCTCTTAGTAAGTTCTACATTTTTATATTTTATTGCTTTTGTTTTGGATGTGTTAATAGTCTTTGATAAGAAACAGTCTTTGAGTTGATTTTTTTATGATTTAAAGCTCTTTAAGACAAATCTTTTTATTTTTGTCATGTAATGATATGGTCATTTTTAAACCCTTTTTTTATTATTGTCTTTGCTCTGCTAATGTTTATCTTTTTATTGCTAAACGCATTACATCATTTATCACATATTTTTTGATGAACTTAGTATTTATAGTGATTTTATTTTTTAACATTTGTGTTAACCTTCATTTTTATTTCAGTTTTATTTCCAGACTTTTACCACCTGTAACTTCATATGTCATGGTGGAGACAGCCTTGTTATACTAATAGAAATCATGTCCAGTGAGGAGCATCATCCACCCTCACCCTCCTCTTAATGTAGACGGGAGAACCAGCCACTTGTTCTAGTGAAGAATTACTAAACCAAAATGAAATCACCCAAACACAGGAACCACGGAAACACCCTCGCTCTCTCTCACTCTCTCTCTCTCGTCAATCGAGGTCTGGCTGCACCGAAACTGAATGCTTTGCCATAAGAAGATTACCCCTGTTTAGAGATATTGATGGATTAAGTAAGAAAAGAATGAAGTGGAAGAAAAAAACGGGAACTGAAGGAGTTCCCAGAGTCAGCAGAGTTCAGACACCTGTTCTTTTCCTGCTCGTTCACTGTTGCTCCCTCTCTGCCCTCAAAGATTATATCACTTTTAGCAGCAGAGGGAAGGAGACGAGAGGAGGGACGGGTGAATCTGCTTACTGTTACTGTTAATATAAAATAAAAATATATTTTAACCAGTCCTTGGATCCGAGCTCTTATATTGAGACAATCTCTTAAAACGTGTGGTCAGTTGTTTTTTTTTTTTAAGATGTGTGTTAGTCATGGCTAATGCTGTGTTTTTGTGTGTGTGTGCGCCCGCGTGTGTGTGTGTGTGTGTGTGTCTATGGCAGCTAAGCCGCTGAAGGTTTCCAGGAGCTCTTTGATGTGTATCTGGGCAATGTGCTATTAGAGGGATTTTCCTAGTTGACAGCTCAGAGAATGTGTGGAGGAATTGCGATGCCAGCGGGCTAAAAGAATGCTGGAAACAGGATTAGGATCATATTCTGGCAGCTCCTGTCACTTCATCAATGGGCTAAGGTTTCTTCAGTGACAGCCCTCCTTCTCTGGCCCGCTAAAACCTATAGTGGGAGCATAAAAGGGGTTAGAGAGAGGGGAAAAAACAATGACTGAATGGTGCACTATGATTTCTGTGTTGGGCCTGCTCTGAGGCCTTTGTGTTGGGAGGTCTGAGGGGGGCGGTGTTGGTTCGGAGGGAGGGCTAGGTCACGGGGATGAAAGGGGAGGGGTCTGAGTGGGGACTTTTGGCAAAGGGATAACTATGGAAGTTTTACACCTAAATCCCCATGGCAAAGCATGTGGAGCACTTTTATACTGACGCTCTCGGACAGGGGGAGCAGCGCGGTGTCCCCCCGGGGACAACAGCAACAGTGGCAGCAGCAGGTGGGACACAACAGACCTCTTTCACCTTCAGACCGCTGGACATCTTCTTAAATATGTGACAGTGACACAAATACTGAGCTGCTGCTCCACTGCCTCAGTTCCTAATACAACCTTGTTTAAACCTTGTATATGTATATGTATATCATAAACCTTGTTTATGGGAACTCGTTTCATCAGGGCTGTCAAACCATCAAACGCTTTTTAATCGGATTAATCACAGGGGAGCTGTGGAATAGTCACAATTAATCGTGATTAATTGAGAAAAATCAATATCAATCAAATATCAAATATTAAAGTTTTTTTTAATCTGATCTATTTAGAAAGATTTGCTTTTTAGATATTAACAGTGAATTGTGTAACAAAAAGTCAATTGAAGCAATACATTCAAGCTTTTGTTATATTTTTATTATTTTAATTTTCAAAGTAACGTTTCACAGTTCTGCAAAATCAATAAAGCATGTCATTTTAGCAGGCTATCTTTTTGGTTGTGAATGAATTTTAAACATGTATTGCAGTGACAGGTGGCTGTAGAGACATGTACAGTAAAGGTGAGTGACCTGCCCACGGACACATCTGTTTCCTTTAAGACTTTCTTTGTCTTAGTGTAGGTTGAACCTCCTTTTGTCTGCTCTGCTCCGCCCTCCCCTGCTGCCAGTCTCTACCTGTGATTAGCCTCCACCTACACCTGCCTCTCACCTGCCTCCCCAACAATCAGCCTCATCTCTCACACCTGTTTCCCTGGCTATATATACCTGTCTCTCCCAGTCAGGTCAGACGATGTGCCCTGATTTACAGGTGCCTTTGAACCTTGTGTTTTGATTATACTTGTTACTTTGGTTTAGTTTTTTTTTTTAAGATTTGATCTTACTGTTTTGTTTTTGTTTTTTTTCATTTAAAGAAATTACTTTTTTTGTTCGTTTGAGTTGTGCCTTTGGGCTCTGCCTCCTGAGACTCCAATGACACCCACACACAGATTTCATTGTAATGAATTCAGAATGTTATGGAAGTAAAACCACAATGTGAGTAAACCACAACCCATTGTTCAGTCAACTTCAATGGATTAAAAAAAAAAAGTGAAACCACGTTGAATTTAAGCTACAGCCCTGCAAACTCATGATCTCACTTTCAAAAAGCTAGTGCTCCTTTATTAGGAAACATATGGCTTGATTTTTTTTAATTTAATGTATGTATATTATGTATAATTAAACTTCCTTTTCTATATACACACCTGATCTGTGCAACAATAATGGAGCATGGGTGGTTTTTGTGTGTGTTTTCAGACTCAGGGTTTGTAAACGTAGTTTGTCATCATTTCTACATCTTTGACTTGGAAATGTAAAATATGTTTTCTAATGCAATCTATTAAGTATATTTGGCCCTGTTGACATTTTGCAGGAATTGAAAGGAACAGTCAGAAGTGAACTCTGAACTCATCACTGCCTCTAGTGGCTGTATTGCTGAACAACCATACTAAATGTAAGTATGTGGTCAGTGGTGTTTGACCGTTTATTTTTTAGTCATCTTCTGATTCTCTCACTGGTGTCACCTGGTGGCCTGGGTATATAAACCTCTCCCCCTCACTCTGTCCTGGTGGGATCGCTGGTCTGTGGTCATGTTTCGTATTCATACCTAGAAGTTCTGCTCCTTGTTCCTTGGTCTGAATCCCTTGTCTCTGTGACCCAGTGAGTGCTGTGATTTTTGCACTTTGTAAAATATATTCACTGCACCTGAAGAGAGCCTCCCTCGTGCTGTGTTTGGGTCTTGACAAATTACATTTCAAATGTATTGAACTAAACCAAGGAACATCATATTTTATTAAGAATCAAACTCGATAACATCAAATAACGCAAAGTTCAAAATCAGAACATAAAAGTGCAGTTGTGACATCATCACTTGAACCACTTGAAATGTCCTCCTGTGCATCACCCTCCACATGTCGTACGTGCCCCCCCCCAGTGGGCCCCGCCCCACATATGGAGAAGCACTGATGTAAAGGGAGGTCAATGTGCAAACATTCGTCTAATATAAAGCACTCCTAATACCAGTTATCATTTCCAATCTAACTTTCTTATCGACTTCTACAGTATTTAAATGAGGTGACGTCAGGGCTTTTTTTCTTATCGACTTCTATTTAAATGAGGTGACGTCAGGGCTTTTATGTATTTCTCGGCTGGTTCACTGATACTGTCTTCCCACTGAGCTGGTAGGGTGGTCTCTGTCATGCATCTCCAACCAGATGTTTGAATGTTGTTACTAAAGACCTTCCTCAGGAGAGCAACTCTCCACAAGAACACAGGAGTTGGATTGTTGGTGACAAGTTTCACGATGCCAGGAATTACAGACTAGCATGCAAACCCTAAATCCTCTCTTTCTCCTCTAAAGTGGATGAGACTGACTCTATCTGCAGGCTTCACTCTGGCTCCGCAGCTTTGTGCTGGAGAAAGAGAGGCTCTCCCTTCTTCCCATGACTTGGATGATAATCCTGACACGCACTGTCTGCATTTTTTTACTCCACGTATTTAAGCGCATTTGCAGAGCATTTATCTCTCCAGTGTAAACCAATTTGGCTGTGAGGGCCTCTGGCCAAGCCAGGCAGAGGATGGCAGAAAAGAAAACTCAGAGCCAGCAGATGTTCAGAGAGGAGAGACCGGAGGAGAGAGTGAGGGATGAGAGGGTTGATGAATGACTGCATGCAGCAGTAGAGGCATATGGAAGGTAAAAAGTACCCCCTGTCTGAGGGGTAAGCTTTTGAGACTTGTGATATAGAGGCCTTTAAAGCCGATGGAACGTGGATCACTGAATTGTTGAGTCACAGAATCTGAGAAAATCATCCAGAGCTCCTAGTTAATCCTGTCAAAGTGAGATCAGTGGGCACACTTTAGGGATTCCAGCTTCTTCTGTCAAATTTTGGGGGCCTGCCGTATTGACAGAGCTGCTGTTTGATACTGCCTGTACACCTGTATCAGCTGTCTGGTAATCTGCCTTGCCCTCCTACCACCAGCCCTTCACAGCGTGAGGACTCCCATGAAATGCATCCAAAAGACCTAAAAGCTGCCAATCTCGCTGCTCCGTGATGTCTTGTGTGCGTAGCTCTTGGCGCAGGATGAACTTGTCACTTTGATCATCTGAAAGGCAGGCGCCCCCTGCTGTGTCAGACATTACTACCTGCAATTCTGAGGAGCCATAAAGACTATGGACTCCCTGGTCCTTGAAATGGGACATTAAGACAGAATCATCCTTGGTAAGTTGTAGTGATATCGAGGTGCTTTCTTTGCTGGGAGACGGGCCGGGTCTGAGTGTGTTTGGATAGCTTTTAAAGTACCTAATCTTACAGTCTAAGGTTGCTGTAAATGAGGTGTTTGCTGCTTTTCTCAATGAGACGTTACATGAGAAGAGCACCGTGACCTGCCAGGACTGTTAAACCATTCGACTGTACGGTTCCAACGAGCCTGAGCTCTGGCCAGATGCCCGCTGCAGTACAGCCAACGCAAACGGTTGTATTGTTAACTTTACAAGACCTTCAGCTATTTTGACCTATTCATTTACATGATAATCTGGGAACACTGACCTGCAAAAATGTTGTTAAATTACCCAGATATGAAGCACAACCAGTGTTTTGAGTTAGTTTCCCTCTCTGTTTATACTTGTGGAATGTACTCGTTACATACGTGTTCCTACACAGATGGAGTACACATGCTGTGGCCACATACATCTGGAGCTTTGTGATTCATTAGTGCAGGGTGTCAAACTCAAATTCACTGTGGGACTAAATTAAAAACTGGGCCAAACTTAATGTTTATTGAAAAGTTGACAACAATCGTTCATGTTTTCTCTTCTCTCCAGATCTGTAATGTAGAGTTTGTTCATGTGGAAACAAACTGTAGTTTTGCGTAAACATTGAATCTGGAACAACCAAAGGTTAATATTATAAACACATGACAAATTAAATTGGAAATGAAACACACATCAGTGGTAGTTGTTCCTTATTATGTCTTTATCTGTAGCCTTTTGAGTCCATTTTTAATGTAAATCTTTTTTTCACAGACCAGCAACAAAAAAAAAACCCAACATTTTTCTGCTGTAACATAGCACATACACCGCTAATACTAGAAATCCTTCCAGTATACAGCGCCCATATACTGGCGGGCCAACTCTAGTACACATTTGATATGATCTTGAGGGTCAAATAATTCCACTGCGGGCCAAATTTGGCCCCCAGGCCTGAGTTTGAGATGTGTGCTTTAGTGTTGTGTTCGGGGACCAATTGCTTGCTGAAACCAATGACATAATAAAACTTTTTTGGGACAAAAGAAGCTCTCTTTCCATCTTTTCTTTAAAATCTAGGGATGCCAAAAATCAGGCTATGAGAGACTATGCATGATTCCAGTCAGTTTTTCAATAAATATTTAGTTTGGCCCACAACTTTGTCCCCGTTGTACCGTACAAAACAATCATGTGTCAGTGCAAACTTCAGGATCAGAGAATATTTTGGGGTTTTTTTTGCTTTGCTATACTGAGCATATTTATTTAAATTTAAAAGATGTTTGTGTGTGTGTGTGTGTGTGTGTGTGCATGTGCTGTGCATATGAATGTATTCAGAATGTCAGGCTCCCTCTGCAGACCTGAGTCTCTTCACTGCTTCTTAAAGCTTAATGCTTCCTGACTGAGTGGCACAGTGAGAGCATCTCTCTCCCTGTGTCTCCATGTGTCACATAATGCCTACAACAACCTCTCAATACCAGTCACCCCGATCCCCCGCCCCATCTAATGTACCCTCCTTCTCCAGCTGCACAGATATAGCCATTTCCATTCAATGAAACACAAGAGCAAATACATTTAAGTGTAATGATGAACACTAACATTGTCTCTAATGGCCTCCCATCCCAGCCCAGTTTTAAAACATATGTAAATTTATGTAAACCCAACAGAAGCACATATTTACAATAGTGTGGGGTAATCACAATATGATGACACGGTGTGCTGCTCTCTCTCATAGATGCATGCGCCATGAGTCATTAGTCTTCCTCATCTGTTTTTGTTTTTTTTCTTCTTCTTCATGCAACGGCACCAGAGCTACATTTGCTCACACTGACAAACGTGATCTGCACTCGTGTGGCACAGTGATGAAGAGACAGAGGTGGAAGGTGAGGAATAGAACAGGAGAGATTCTTTGTCACGACAAGTAATACTGATGAGAAACCTTGTTTATTAATTTTTTAAACCTTAAAGTAGTACTGAAGACATACATTCAAAAATGTATTTTTCTGACAGAAAAACAGCAGCAAAGTCAAAAGGAAAGACTAGTGAGACCTGATGTATGGTTTACAGCCAGTGTCTCTCAGTGTTAGTTTTTATTGAACAAACTGATTGCTGGGTGTTAGCTATACAATGACAATGCAAATTCCGTTGTTGTTTGGTTCAGTTCATTATTTCCAGTGTGTGGTGTAAAGTAAACTTAAGCAGCTGCTATAAATTTGTTAGAAATGATTTTTACAATTATAAGTTTAATTTGCAGCTTATTAGGAAAAGAAAGAAGAAAAAAAACAAATTCCAAATTTGGTGTTTCATCTGATACTTTGCACATATTGACAAAAACCACTACGGTGAAAGAGTCCCACTCCCTGATGCAGAAACGAAATCTCACGTTATCTCACATACAGACAGTTTTGAAGTAAGCATATTTTAATTCATATTTTAATTTCACTATAACAAAACGAAAACAAGCTATGTGCACTTGAGAGGAGACTCTTCAAGTTTTTTTAATCCTAAAACCAAATCAAGCTGTTAAGATAAAGAATTCTGAGAATGTTGAGGTACATTATTATTTTATGTATCATTATTATTTGTTATTCATATTCAAAGGCAACTTCATTTCATTTCTTCCTATTTGACCCCTGCTCCTCATTTGCTGCTCTGGAGTCGCCTTCACCCATGTCTCCGTCTGTCACCTGCAGGACCTTTACTTCCTGCTGTGTTGGACCAGGTTGTCCACCTCCTTCATGAAGCGCAGACACAGCTCATCCTGCCACGGCAGAGACACACACTGCACAGAGACAGGGAGTCCCTCTGCACCAGACACGGCCTGAACATGAACACAAGAAGCCACCAAGTCACAGGTTAGTTATGAGAATCACCTCAGTCTGCTGCCTCCACCTACTGACCAGCTGTGGTAATACAGGTTAGAGATCGGTTCATTTCCATAAAAGGCGTTACCAAAACAGTCATAGAAAATAATAATCGTAATGAGTACTTACATTTAGAAGTGTACTTCAAACTTTACTCTGTACTTCCTACCACTCACATAACTAAGAACTGACATTTTCAGACATTAAATTACTTTTTCGTTAATTCAAAGTTGTACGTGAGGTTGAGTCGTCTTTCCCTTTCACTTCTCACCTGTTTGAAATAAATGTCTGCCTGGTCCTGGTCAAAGCCCTTGTAGTTCTTCAGCTCCTCCTCATCTTCTCTTGTCACAGATGAAACAGGAACAACCCCAGCAGGAAAAGTCAGGAGGTTGTAAATGGATGTGTATGAGAGAACAGCTGAAAGGAAACCGAATATTATTTTGATGTCATGTGAGAAAATAATACATCTAAGTACATAATGATGTTTTATTCTCAGAATTGAACACCAAAGGCTCTTAAACCACTCTTGAAAAACACATCGTACGTGTTATCTTTCCACAGTACAACAGGTTGAAGCCAGGTCCAATCACTGGGCACAGCAGCACGTCAATGTTGCATCTTTTCCATTCTGCTATCGTTTCATCTATGTAGTCCTGAGGGAAAAGCCATTGGAATTATATTGTTTTCCAAGAACTCAATAGACAATATACAAAACATTATTTTTATTTCTAGGAGACCAACTTTTTACAGAGCATTCTATTCTGAACTGTCAGCAGTGTTACCTGAACTGCACCGTGATGCTTCCACAGATTTGAAATTGATCTGAACATGAAGCAGGAAATAGACTCAGCATGTGAAGGGCAATTAAAAAGTAAACTCACAAACACAAACTTATTATATTAAGACATGTCTCTCACCCACATCCAGCAGTAGATTCACCAATGGCATTAAGGCGAGGAGACTAGAAAACAATGTGTATTGTTATTTATTCAGACATTTTCAATGTAAAGGCACAAAGTTATTTTCTCTGAAGCAGAATACACAGTATGTAACTCACTAGTGGAGTGCGAAGGAATGAGGTGATTTTCCTTAAACGCTTGGGGACATGGCGGAATATCAGCTGATGTTTTAGAATAGCGTCTAAAGGGCCGCCTTCCCTAAAGTAGACACAAGACATCATTATTCATAGAACCTGTTCCTGGAGACTGTTCTCTTTTACTGTTTCAGTTATGAAATAATCCTCAAGTTCTACCATTAGAGAACTTTTGAGAACAATTGTGTCTCAAGTGACTAAGAGTCTTTCAGTGTTTTCATAATTTGAGGTTAAAAATTAGTATTGCTGAGTTCACTTGTCTATGAGTGACAAGGTAACAATGGCATTTGCCACTGCCGTCCTTTTAGACTAGAAAAGTGAATTTTCTTTTATAGATACAACAACCAGAGTCAAAACAGGTGAATGTAGCAGCTGTAATGGCACTAATATGTGAAGGCAGTAGACTGTCTGTGTCTCCATATGCAGATTTAAACCATTGCTTTTACTGATCTAACGGCGACATGATACGCCAGACTATCAGACACCTCCTTCAACTTCACCTGACCCTGGAGTGAATTCTAACTCACATGTTTTGTAGCAGGGTGGTGGCTCCATCTCCCAGCAATCCTTTGCCCACCAGCTCAGTGAAAGCGTAACTCATCTTTAACGGAGTGTAAGGCACCAACTACAGGGACAAAAGACACACGTCTGCATGAAAACCCTTCAGCTCTTGTAACATTGTTTCAGGTCACTGTAGACCAGTAGACGGTGTGCATCACTGTGGGGCTGTAGTCTTACAGTGTGACCGGCTTGCTCCAACAGTACTTTGACTTCTCTGACAGCTCGCGCCATGCTCGGACTTGGCTGCATGTAGCCATCATTTTCCAAGTAACCAATCCGCAAGGGTTTGGAGCTCTTGTACATCTGAAAGGACATTATGTCATTAGAAAAGTTCATACGAAATCCAGCAACACGTGTTTTTAATGTCTTTAGCAGAGGCAAAATAATTCTGTTCTTTCCTGTAACACAGTAATGAACCGTAATGTTTTCGTAAAGCCTGTCAAATCTAAATAATATCGGCCAACCAATAATCTCGGCAGATTAGCATAATTATGTAATATCAGTAAGACTCGTTATCAGTTTTTTCCTCCAATAATAAAAACACAATGCCTGGGTTTTGCCCAGATGATGTGACCTAAAACTAGTTTTGAAGTGAGAGTGAATAATTGTAATTGTGGCACATCGTTACACACTCATTTGTCAGGTAAAAAACCGGTTCCTCGTCAGATCTGTCTCAGGCAAAAAATATCTGGTTAAAAATTAAGAGAATAAGATGACAGATGACAGCAAATAAACTGCAGCTACTGAAGGGAAAATAGCATCAGATTAGTGTGTGTGAAGAAGGTGTCAAGCTAAAACTAAATCTTTAAGGTTTTTACTGCCATTTGAAACTTCACAGGGCTTGTACATCAAAGACCCTCTAATGTTGATTAGAGAGTCATGACAACTGGGTTTTATGAACATTCTTACTGATGTTGACACACCTGCTCATTGAATGGCAGTGGTGGAACAGTGGGGTCCAGGGAAAACATGTAGTCGCACAACAGAGCCCGCATACACACCACCAGACTGTCCAAGTCTCTTGCCATTGGTCCCAGAGATACAAGCACTAGATTTATTCAAAAATAAAGTGTAAACAAATTAATTAAAGCATAAACACATGCACATGTATTATTTGTGTCAGAGCAGATTGGTGTCAAACAAATGGTTTATGGGTGAAACATAACAACAGCTGAGCAATTGTTTTGCTGCCAGAAAATTAATGAAACCAAATCTCATTTCAGAAAAAATCTGACAGACAAAAAATTCCTTAATCGATCAGAGTCTGGAGCAGATCCTTTCAGCTCTAGATTAAAGCTCCAAAAGAAATCTGAGGATGTACGACAATGATTTTATGAAAACAGATTTTCATATACTTTTGGTGCATACTTGTGCTTATGGGTAAAAGTGTCAAATGTTTGACTTTGAAAACCCCTGTTTTAGTGACAAAGTATTTCATCTTACCTGACTTTTGCCCTTTAGTTGAGGACCTAACACCTTTCTCACTGCCCAAGTCAGAAGGTAAAGTAAATTAGCATCACTTCAGGCTCTCATTACTGTACAGTGAATTCTAAATATTACTGGGTCAGCCATACCTTAATCTTCTTGGTGTCGGCTTAAAACCGTAGATACCACAAAAGCTGGCAGGAGGGCGGTTGCTGCCGCCAATGTCACTCCCCATACCCAGCAAAGAGCCACCTCCACCTATGAGAGCGCCCTCTCCACCAGATGAACCTCCAGAAGTCTTTTGGAGGTTATGAGGGTTCAGAGTCTGGCCATAGATCGGGTTACTGCAGTCGTAACTGGAGATGAAGTAAATGTTGGATTGGAAGTATAAAACTGTGTACACATTATTATGACAACGTGTTAAAACTTTAAAACTTGATTTGAAAATCATTAACCTTAGCAGGCCCTGAGGAATGTTGGTTTTCACAAAGGGAATGGCTCCTTGTTTTTTCAGAACTTGAACGATGACACAGTCTTCTTGGACAGGCTTCTCCAGGTTAATGAATAATCCACAACTGGAGTCATAATTCTTATTCAAAACAAGGGGTCAGAGAGAGGAGGAAACAGCAGATTGAAACATTGACCTAAAATTAAATAAACGTTTACACCTTTATGGTTCAAACACTTTATGTTCAAATCCCACACACAGACCTCCACACACGTCATATTTCTTTGACTTTCTGTAAGCAGAAAAGCTCATCAAATAACCTCATAAAGTATACAATAAAACATTAGTAGCACACTTAACTTGTATTTTTAAGATTAGGGAATATCTAAAGCAGTTGTCTGTACAAAACAATGTCAGAGTACAAAGTACAAATAAAGAAGTGTTTGTGAATGTAGGCAAACACAACTGCTGGTTAGTTTAAAACTTGACTTAAACAGAACCAAAACACAAAATAACAGTTGGTATCATCCATTTTACCTTGTAATACAGCTTCACATTAACTTACATTTGTTAAACTTGAAACTGAAACTTTTGGTAAAAAAAACAATTAAACACAAGCTGTAAATTTAAGTAAAATTCCTGAACTGGGAATATGGATTGTAGCATCAATATATTTGAGAACCAACGGTCTGCTTTTACCTTGTAGCCGTAGTTATCCTTGATACTAACTGGAACTCCGTACAACAGACCCTCCTTGTTGGTACTTTTTAGCTGGTCAAAACTATCCAGCAAAATCACTGTGCAGCAGTTCAACTTGCTGTTTACATCCAGAGTCTGTTCAGGAAAGTACAAAAGCACAAGGTAATATAAACAAGTCTAAAATAAAAAGGTTTCAACGTTGTTACTAAGACTTATTTGAGAACGTACTAAGTGAATCATGGCTTGTGTTGATTTGATTAAGAAGAAACAGGCAAAATAATGAGTTAAAAAACACATGGAATCTTACGGGGGACAATACCACAGTAGAAAACATGCAACACAGATATTATATCTGCCAAATGCAATAAAAATGCAATTCAGCATAAAATAAACCTTTTCCATGTAAGCATATAACACATCCTCAGGGTTCAGTGAGCCTTGCTGCAGCTGCGTGGTCAACTCAGTGAGAGACAGTGCCAGGATGGCATCACCGCTGCAACCTGGATGCTAGAATGCACAAAGACAAAGTCCAGGTAAGTCAAAGAGAAACATCAGTAAACAAACTTTCAATTTTCACAATTAAACAAAACATTAGGTTTGTACTCCTTTAAAGAAATGTAATAAACGTACATTTGATGAAATTTCTAATCCACTCACCTGTGTTTTGGCAGTTACACAAGGGTTTTTTAAGCATCTATGACAACATTTCTCTAGTGATTTATGAAATAATCATTTTTCCACATTGCAGTTCTTTGAAATTCAATATAACTTTAATAATAATAACTAAACATTTTGGCATGATGCATCTACGACAACAGAGTGAGTTATTAAATGGTTTTTATATTAGAATATTTTTCAGATAAACTTGTTTTTACGTTCATTTAACAAGACGCGTATCACGCTTATGCAGTGGCTCACTGAAAATAGGTCGGTGGTTGTTTATAAGTTTTACTTATAACACAGTTATTGCTAAAATTAAAATGCTAAACAGATGCTCGAGACCGTTGCTCAGTAAAAAAAAACACCTCTCTAAGCTTGGGGCAATTAAATTTCTCCCCAACTGGACAGGGCTGCATACATTCCTGTTATAAAGAGAGAGGTCGAGTTTTGTTTATATTAAAGATTATTTAATTAGCCAATATTTTAACAAGAGAAAAGCCGACAGACTCACCGCTTCCTTGTACTGCTGCACCGCTTTCTGCGCCTGTTGCAAATTCTCAGCCCTCCTGACTTTGGCTCTCTGAATCTTTTTCTTTGCATCCCGGTACACTGACACCCTGCGGAACACTAGCAGCGCAGCGCAGGCAGCGCCTGTTAGCACCACCACAGTCCGTCTGTCTAGCTCCATTCTCCGAACAAGCTGTGTTGCACTTTCCATGGTTCGTCCGTTCTATGAGGAAATCACAACAGCAAAAAGACAACTGTCTTCAACCGGCCTATGAAAAAGTGTTTGTCCGCCATCTTGTTTCATTGGACGAGTCGTAAGGAGGAGCAACGTCCTTTAAAGGTATAATGTACAGTATATACCAATTACAATATGTCTCAAATTCTAAATTGCTTCTGCCAGAAATGTTGAGGGTCTTTAATTAGGAATACTCTTCAGTTACAGTGAGCTTAGACAATAACAGATTTAAACTTTAAGGAACAGTCCCATTGCATTTTTGAATAAAACATAAAAAATTCAAACTGACCGTTTCCAAATTTCCAAAGTTGTCTATCTCCCTATGTCGGTAAAGACCCATTGAAAACTGTCTTTTTCCTATGTTGATGCCACTAGTTCAGTGTTTCCCAAACTTTTTTTCTGGGGACCCATATTTTAAAAGTCACAAACCTTAGCAACCCAAGTCAATAGACATTATTTGTAAACTCCTGGGAAACATGATGTGAGAACTTTGCTCCAGTGGTAAAATATTTACATGAGATGCTCATTAGGCCTGTAGCAACATCACACGTCTTACATGACAACATAGAACAATCTGCAAACTTTCAATGTTATATATCTTTATTGAATTGTTGACACACATTTGTTAAATAAATTCACTTTGTTCACATGAGCAAATACATTACAGTTTACTTTCAAAGGTACACGTACAGCAGACACACACAGTGGTTGAATTTAACTTTTCTTTAATACATGACTGAGTGTCTCTTCAGCTTGATGTTCCATAATCGGAAAGGATTTTATTTAACAGAATGGAACAGCTTGTGTGCCACCTAGAGACAGAGAGAGAGAATCAGACAGTCAGCTCAAAGTCAACTGCAACACATACATGTACCCAGCAGATGAAAATGGATGGATGGATGGATGGACTTTCTCTTTTTGCCAGATGTGAAGAAGTTTGCTAAAGGCTTACAAATTAACTTTAAACGTTAACAAACATTTAAACAAATGAGCTTAATCTACTACATCACAATGCCACTTTTCTTATTGAGGTTCTATTCATTAAACCTGGCTATCCTGTGATGAATTTGAATTGTTTCCCAATCTACTTACACAATGGTCCCGAGCATGTAGAAAGTCAAACAGCTCCTCAGTGCAATCCTCCTGTGTTGAAGACCGAGAACCAACTCTAGTCTCACACTGCTCTAAACGTTCTTGGTAATGGACACAGTGTTCAATCTCCGCACACTGCTGCCTTATTGTTTCAATAGGATCCTGAAAAAGAAAAAAAAAAAACAGACATGGCATTTAGAATGACCTTTTAAAGATGCTGTTAAACAGGCAATACAAATATGAAAAAAGATAACTTGATTTTGAACAATAGAAAATGTGAATTTAACAGAATAACCATAAATTATAAAATATGTTTATGATAAATTCAAAATTCAATAAATAGGCAATATAATAAATCCTTATAAATGGATTAAACAGAAGAAACATGCAACAGAAGGTGGTAAAAATTAGGCTGTTGCTGGATCGCCCCAAAATTGTCTTTAGTGCATATCCAAAAAGAAACATCAGTGTGATGGTAGATTGATGATAGACTGTTTGTTTATAAAGGTTAGTAGCCTTGAAGAATAAAAAGAGGAAGCCGATTACCGATAGCCTTATTAGTTGTCTTACTTCGACACTCACACCAGTAATGAATACATACCACCATTTCTTCTTCCTCCTCCTCTTCTTCTTCATCCTGACAAAAGACACAAAGGATCTAAATTACATCATCATATCGTGACATTAACAAGCTTCTTTTGTTATTCTTGATATGCTGTAGATGCTCAGATAACTGACGGATGTCAGCAGCTAGTATTAGCATCAGCTCTGTGATTACGTAGCTCGGTTAACCGTGTGAAACGAGCAGAAACGAGCAGCTGTATCGAACCGGTACGACAAATATTGTTACACTAATCGTAAAAATACAACATATATACCTCAGGCTCTCCGCTCGTGATCATCTTTTCCTCGAAAACCATGGTTGTTGCCCTTGTCCTTAGACGACCGGCTTCTCCTGTCACTGCTGTATTGCTGGAGGACACTCTATTTCGTGTAATGATCCTCGCAGAATGATGCAAAGCTAGAGACGCTACTGCCCTCTATTGTAGGGAGTTGGTAATACAGGATTTTAAAATCAAAGTTCGGCGGAACACATCTCAGCAACGCAACGAGTGTTCGAGTTGTTTTTAGAAGATTTAAAATCAAATGGCTTTCAAGCACAACGCATCGAAGCTAACCATTTTTAAAAATAAATAATTGAATTCCCACTTAAGAGTGGTTAGGGTTTTAAGATATTTGAATGAATGGAGAAAATCATCAAACAATTCCAGTAAGGGAAACTATTTTATTCTACTTCATCATCAGAAATAATATTTATTTGTTTAATCCCATGAAAGTATTTTTTTGTTTGATGCATATTTTCAATTTAGACAAGGGTATCTGTTATTGGATCTTACAGTAAGAATCTAATACATTTATAAACCATTGTATATACCGGTAAAATAACTATGTTGGGAGTCTTTTCATAAATAGCTTCCTAATTCTAATAGTAGCATAAGTTAACATTTTAAATAGTTTGGAACCTCATAGCTTTTTAAAAATCATTATAAGTTTGAAAACTTGCAGCATTACAACTGTTTACAAATATCTTGTTTCCTAAAACTGGGGATGTAGCATTTGACTTAATTTTGCAATTATAAGAAAAATAATGGTATAAGAACAAAACTAACAAAGAAGTATATACAGTGGTGAAGCAAATTCTTCTGAAGCTGACATCAGCTCATTAATTGCTCAGCATTTTTAACTTTCTAGAATCAGCCAGACTTCCATACTTCTCAGTGCTGAGGTCTTCCTCTCGAAACCCAAGAGACTTAAGCTTTGTTTCCAAGGACAGCAGCAAATCCGTTCGTGCCTGTCAAATAGTTTCAGCAAAATATATTATTATCACTACAAATAGCACTGTCAGTCAAATTTATTAAAATTCATAACTCACCTTAAAAATCTTTGCTTTTTTAAACTCCAAGTCTTTAACAGCGTTGTTACTCTGGTCAATCTTTCCCTTCAAATAAAAGAGAGTTTCAATTTTGGATTTGTAGGTGGAGAAGACAGATGTTTGGGATGAGATGGAAGCAGAAGGTTCACTGTTGTGATCCTTAAGATGAACAGAGAAGGGGGGGCAGCAGAAGAAGGAGTTATAAGGTAAAAGTGGGAGACCCTCAGCTGTACCTCAATTTTCTTTGTGATCTCATAAAGTGCTGTTTGGTCCACGTTAGATGCAGATAGAACAGAAAATAGCTGAGTTTGTGTCCTCTCCAGGTGGTCGGTAGTGGAGTTCAGCTCTGTCTCCAGCCTTGTACTTTTCAAACCTTTATTATTTTGGTGATTTTCTATTATCTTAGGGTGAAGTTTGCGCAGCCTGTCCCT